TATATATATATATATATATATATATATATATATATATATATATATATATATATATATATATATATATATATATATATATATATATATATATATATATATATATATATATATATATATATATATATATATATATATATATATATATATATATATATATATATATATATATATACACATATATATATATATACATACATAGATATATATATATATATATAGATATATATATATATATATATATGTATATGTATATGTATATGTATATGTATATGTATATGTATATGTATATGTATATATATATATATGTGTATATATATATATATAGACATTAAAAAATCCATAAAAGAAAACCAACCATATTTTTTAGGACATTTGAAATTAACACAATAAGAAAAAAAGTGTAAATTGAATCGAAAATAAACTTTTACAAAGAAATTGGAGAAGAAAAAGAAATTGACAAATGTAGGGTTACAAATTTGAAGAAATTGAAGAAATTTGAGCTGGAAAGCTATTGCAACCTCTGACCAGAGATTCTTTCGCCATTCCGCTGGACACCACCGCCAGCCTTAGCCTCGTCGTTGGAGCTGCTGCCGACCGCTGCCATTGCAGCGGCTAGAGCCGCTGTTCTTTCTCGATGATTCCCCCTTTGTTCTTTTGATGTGCAATTCGTCATCAATTTGTAGGATAATAAGAGCAAGGGGCATTTAATTTCTTCACGTTGGAGCACTTGAGCGAGATTTGTGGAGAGACGTTGGAGCGTTCTTCCGTTCCAAAGTTGACGAAGGAGAAGGAGAAAGCCGCTGGATTTTTTTCATTCTTGCATTTCATTCTTGCATGAGACTAAAGAGGAGGAAGGTCTGGGCTTGTTTTGTTGATGGTTTTAGGCATTGGCCCAAATTCAACTTCTTCTTTTCAAACTTGAACTCAAATTTGGTCTTTTGCTATATTTTTTTCTCCACACAAAATAAGATATCTAAAGTCAAATTTTGACTCCAAAGTCAAAATCAACTTGTGGGGTGCAATTGAAGGGGGTGGGGGGTGTGTCCGGGTCGGGGCCGGGTGGGAGGGTTTACCGGGGGGGTTAGGGGGTAGGAACAGTCAATTTTACGAACGGGGCACCGGAGCACTCCTGGGTCACATTGCCGGGCAATGTCACTTGAACCGTGGGGCTAACCTTTTATATGCTTTTCCATAAATTCTTCTACAAACAACTAAACTCTGCTCAACCGCATCAAAATCAAATCAGGGAAAGGGAGAATTTGATTTGATGGGATTAACCCGATCAGATGGCGGACCAAGAACGGAATATGAATTAGGAAGATATAATCGCTCGATAATGTTCTTTGATTATGTATTGAACTTTCTCGTTGTGACCTGTTTTACAACGGTGGGGTCTTCCCCTTTTATAGTACTTCTGATACTCTAATTAAAATTATACAAAATGGAAATAGATTATGGATATCATGGGGTTGTGATTCCCCTTCTTTCCGGTCTCCTTCTCTTTCCATTTCGTCCACAACTCGATGATGTGGGCCACGTGTCCCATTCCTCTTTCGGACTGGGTCACCTTGATCTATCCCATGTTTGGGCCGTCTTCCTTTACTTGCCGTATGCGAGATGAAGGGCTTGGCCCGTCATCTCCACCTGATTACATTCCTTTTGGGCTATTATGGCCCTCATTTGGGCCTGGAGTCGGGTCTACCAGACCCGATATCCATCACAAGCCCCCTAGTTTTTCTGGCGACGTGTCGCTAGAAAACTAATGATGCGCCGCCTTTGATCTTCGTGTCGGATTAGAAACGTCGCCATCGAGTACCTCGGGTCCACCTTTCAACGGATAGATACCCCTTCTAGACTCGTCTTCTTCCTCTCGCTGCTGAATCTTAACCCGACCCGAATTCCGATTGCAATTTTCCCCCAAATCCTTACTTCTCTCTCCGAAATGGCTCCCACAAATCCTGAAACCTGGACCCATGGACCCTCCATTATCAAAGAGAGTGAACTTCAAGAGATGGCCGCACTTCTGGGCAAGGGCTTCCGGGTCCACCGTCCCGATGCCGTTGGGGGGATCAGTTTATCTCACAATCCGAATCCCCAAAAATATATGGTCATGCACTACCACTCCGTGGAGAATGGATTTAGGTTGCCCCTCCACGGCCTGCTCCGCGACCTCTGCCTCCATTTCGGATTTGCTCCGGGTCAATTGACTTCGAACGCGCACAAGTACATCGCGTCCTTCATCTTGCATTGCTGTGCGCTAGACAAGACCCTGAAACTGGACGATTTCCTTCTCCTCTTCAGTGTCGGTGGTTTCCCCTTTTACAGTCTATACCCTCACAACCATTTTCCCATTTTTGAGAAGGTCGAGCTCAAGATCGACAAATGGTCGCTTAAATACTTCGTCATTGAATTCCCGGCTCACAGCCCCCTCGATCTGCCAGGTGTCATCCTCCGCCGTTCTATTTCCCGGACGAAATTCGCCCCCGCAAACCTGGCGGAAGGGGTGTACAATGCTTTGAGGGAGAAGGAGGGTCTAATTTCCCACCACTCTCTCCAAGAAGCTAATCTGTACAAAAAGGCAGGGTTTTAGTGCCTCCTGGGTCCTGACCCGATTCCCTTTGAGGAGGTGCCTTCCCCCGAGAGATCGAAGGCTCCTTCTGCTGTAGAGTCCAACCCGGCTGCAAGCTCTTCTGGAGATCGGCCCCAAGGTGGTTCCACTACCTTAGTTGTGCGCAATCCGGATGCTGCTCTGAATGTTGCTCCTATCTCTGCCATCCCCGGGCTTAGGAGGCCCACTCTGTGCCAGAAACGGCCACGGGAAGGTCTCTCCGATGATGATTTCCTTCCCAAGAAGACCAAGGGTGCCGGTACTTCTGTTTCACCCAGCCCCTTGTCCAACTCTTCCGGTTCTCAGAACTCTTCTTCCGCTGCCACTCCCGGAAGTTTAGGGCTAGAGTTACCCAACCCGGGAAGTCTGGATCAGAAGGCAGATGAACATCCAGGCCAGGCGTCACTCACAAAACTTGCGGTGCAACCTCAGCCTGATGCAAACAATTCCCCGCCTCAAACTGTATCTGCCCCCCTAGAACCGGAGGAAAAAGCTGAGGGGCAGAAAGAACCAGAGTCTTCTCTTGCAGCAGAGGATGAAGTTGAAGTGCTGCTAGAAGCAGAAATCTCCCACCCAGAGGATAATGAGGCTGGAGAGCAGAGAGATGCTAAAGCTTCTCCAGAAGTGAGGAAAGAGACTGAGGCGCAACAGACTCAGGAGGAGCAGCGAGAGCCGGAAGAACGACATCCCACTTCTCCTCCCCCGGCTGTCAATCTCCCCATCCGGCGCAAGTTCACGCCACGGACTTATTCCGCTTTCGCAGAGGGTTGGGAAGGCTTCTCCCGCGGTTTGAGATCCTTGCAAGCTTCCCATTGGACTATCCAGGGGTATCTAGAAAGGATGCAGGGATTAGTGCAGGAACGCATAATTCCCCAAGCTCGCCCTGATCTGCTTGCCCTCAATGCCCTGCACCTCATGGAACAGGTACCCTTCCTTTTCAACAATCTCTTTATCTCTTTCTGGGTTAGTTCTTTTCCTTGATTTCCCTTTCCTTCTTTTAGGCCCAGCAATCGCTCCTTACTTTGACTGAGGAGTACCTGGGTGGAGCATCAGGGAACTTCCGGGCTGTAATGCTTCTGAGGGAAAGGGAACTAGCTGCCAGGGCCTTGCAACAGAAGGTTGACTCCCTGGAGCAACAAGTCCAGATCCTGCAAGGGGAGAATGCTCGGCTCCAAGAAGATGGCTCCACGGAGCTTGCAGCTGAGAGATCCAAGGTCCAGTCCCTGCAAGATCAGATTGCTAATTACCACAAGGAGACCCAAGATCTGGAAGTGCAGTTTGGTAGATTCCAGGCACAAATCTCCCTCCTGGAATCAAGGGTCTCGGCTTCAGAAGACCAGGTAGGAAGTTTGAAAGCTGAGCTGGTTGAGAGGGAATCCCGGATCTCTGAGCTAGAGAATTCCCTCCAAGAGGCCAAGTATGAGGGTTCACGCCTTAACGAGCTTTCACTGAAGCACATGGAGGCGAGACGGCTTGACCTCGAGAAGTTGAAGGGAGAGAGGCAGGCCGCAAGTGAGCTCCGGGCAAAGGTGGATGAACAAGAGAAGATGATCGCTGCTCATCAAGAGGAGGTGGCCACCCTGATTGCCCGTGCCAAAGCCCTCTACGAAGAGGGACAATTTGACATGCAGCAATGCATCTACGGGGCAGTCCAGAGTGGTCTCCCAGAAAACCGCACTTTGGATGAATTCATCTCCTACTATGGGTTACCTCTCCCTCTTTCTCCCCCAGCTTCTCGTGCAGACCCAGGACCTTGACTTCATCTTCCTCCATTGACTGTTATGTTTTGCCTTGTATTTATTTGGATTATGGTAATTTGATAACATCCGATGTATTTTTGTCCATGTAGACTCCTTTAGTAATCTGACTGTTCTCCTTTTAGTATTCTTGTTTTGCCCTAGGACTTAGCAGATTTTTTTTACCCGCCTAGGCTTTGGGCTTAACCGCGTTCACAACGCACTGTTCCTCTTATTTACCATCGCGCTAAGTGGCTGGCCCACTTTAATTATGCCGGGCCCAACTCACCTTAGCCCAATGATAAGATAGTGGAACCCTAGCTCTCCTCGGGAATCCGCAACTGCCTCCCAATCGGATAAGCGCTTTGACTCCGCGTCCTTTGCCCTTCTCCTTTGGGATTACTCACCTATTTAAGGGGCTGGGTTAAGCCCTTTCCATACCACAATCAATCTCTCAACATGGCTAATAACGCCAATAGAGTTGTCTTCATTGATCTTACTATTTCTGATTCTTCTTCTGATTCTTCTTCGTTGGCATTCCCTTCACTTGAGTCCCCAACACCTGAGCTCTCTTCTGGGCCTTCTCTTGCCTCTGAACAATCGGTAACTTCTCCCTTGCCTAGAGAAGAGAACAACCCTCATCACCCCCCACAAATTTCAGGGAGTGTTCCTCCGGGTCCCGGCGTGCTTTCTAACAGTGCCAGGGCGGAAGTCTCTTCTGGCTGTCCTGGCACTTCTTGTCCACAGAAGAGACGCAATCCCCACTCAGGAGCTTCCCGGCTGGTCTCCGGTGCGAGGCCTTCTTCTCATGGTTCCCCTTCCCCTTAGCAGTTGCATGGACAGCCACTTGAGGAATGGGGGACTATGACATGGGGGGAAACAGGCTTCCCTTTATACGCAGGGAAAATGATGGGGCCTTCAAGGACCCACCCCCTCCTTCCGTATAAGTAAAGATAGGCCTTGGATCCTTCCCTCATGCCCATTCGTCCTCCTGGTCTGACTTCAGAGAGGCGACCGGAAGGTGCCAACGGGGGGAATGCTTTTCAATCCCAACCCGTTGGTTCCTCTTCGTATCTTTTGAATGTCATCAAGGGAGACCGGTGGGCGCCCTCACAGGAATGACCGGGTGGTACCCACGGGGATGGCTATAGGTCCCAACCCGTTGGTACCATCCTAGTTCTTGTGAATTTCATGAAGTGTCTTCGGCGGACACTCTCCATGCATTCCTGCCTTGAGGTTCTCTTTCTGGTTCAGGCAGGGAAGCAAGGGTCAGCGAATTCACTCCTTTAGATTCCAGAAGTGTCAATCCGCCTTGCTTTCAATTTTTCTTTCGCAGTAGGATAGAAGTAGATCAGAGACAAAGTTCACTACTGTAACCCAAAAGAATGTAATTTTTCTGTTTGAGTTATTTAATGAAATCCTTTGTCTCCCGTCTCTTTTTTGTTTCATAGTTAGATCAGGGATAAGGCCCATTACTGTAACCCAAAAGAATGTAATCTTTTGTTTGAGCTATTTAATGGAAAGAGCCTTTATCTCCTGTCATTTTAATACTATTTTGTTGCACGTGCCGTCATCTGCATGGAGTAGAAGTCTAAGTCTATTTAACTTCTTACCTTCCAAGGATAACGTCTTTTTCGAAGCGCAAATGGGCCCAATTAACTAGCCCATGCACTTTAGTGGCGAGAAACTCTTAGTCAAACTTTGGGAAAGCTTCGACCGCTCCCTTCGCCAATCGTTTAGTCTTTCACGCCTTTTAATTGCATTCATCAATTCCCAACTATCCCTTCCCCTTTGACTATAAAATGGGAAAAGGCAATTAGCTGCCGGTCCATCACTTTCTGACTTCTTCGTCATGGCAAATAAGTCTGAGGGCAAAGTCGTCATCGACTTAACCCTCTCTGAGACGTCGTCCTCAGATGATGATTCCTCCATCTCTCCAGCCCAATCCAACGACATGGCCGGTTTAAGTCCCGGCGAATTCTTGAGACTTTATCCGGTGCCTCGCCTTCCTGCTCCATTCCCTCCAAGCCCACCTAGGCTTCCCTCCGGGGAGATAGACTGGGACTCTATGACCCTCCAAGACTTTGCCTTGTACCAGAGGATGTGCAGGAATAAACTTGGACGTTCTCCGCCAACTGTTGAGGCGGAACCTTCATGTGAGAGCCGGACTACTTCTCCAAACCTGCTGAAGCCCCGCAGCAGCGGTTCTTCATTGAAGGAAGCAGCCCCTCGTCCTGGGACATGGGAAGATTATGACATAGGGGAAACCACTGATTCATCAACGTGTCCCTTGTCAAAGAGAAGGAGCCCATGGAAGGGTCCCCCACCTCCCTCTTGTTGACTGCATGGATGCAATAGGCCCTTCTTCACTTCCTAATCTCCTGCAGATCAAATTTCTTTTCCTTGTTTTGTATCAAGGGGCATTCACTTGCTTGGTCCAGAGGTTTTCCCCTCATCCCAAACTAAGGAATGTTCCTTAATTTTGAAGTAGGGATCACCGTTGTAATTCAAAGATATACCCCCCGAATTAGCAACCAATGAACTCCCTTAATTTCTGTTCTTGTTTATTTCACTAGGAACCTTTATTGTGAACCAAAAAATGTAAACTTTGGCCCATCAATATGGTCCTTAATGATTATTTCTTTGCACCTCTTTAAATGCAAGTACATAATTCATTCTCTATATTAAATCTCACCTTCCCGGGGTTCGGGAATACCTGGGGCACTTATCACATCTGCCCCTGGCGTTCCCTTCCCCCGGGTTAAGGCATAATCTTATCTACCTTGGATCAGTTGAGCTCCAACCCTCGATGTTTGTTTGCTCGGTTGATCTATGCTAGTGGAATACTAAGCTTCAGCCCTCGAAGTCTGCTTGCCATTCTTCCTGAATTCCGGGTTGTAGTGGCCCTCGAAGTCCAATCCCAACCCTTCCTTCATTTTTGACGGAGGCATAAACTTTTCTACCTCCGGGGGGGCATAAACTTTTCTACCTCTCCTATTTTTAGCAGGTGGCATAAACTTTTCTACCTCCCTGTAGTAACGCGGGTCTATATCGCCCGGGGGTGCTTCCCCCCCTCCTTTTTTTGTGAAATCTCTAGAACAATGAAATTGCAAAGGCACTTGGCATGAAAAGAAAAGTTTTATTGAAACAAGCATCTTAGATTCAGAAAATAGAGCGTTTTACAAAATGATTCACTGATAAAATTTGACCAAGTGCTCTACATTCCATGTCCTATCAATTTCTTTCCCTTTGGGAGTCACCAACTTGTAGGTACCTGGGCGAACAACGGCCTTGATGACATAAGGTCCTTCATACTTCTTCCCCAGCTTCCCACCCTTAGTTGGTTGACTCTTCTCTCGTTTCCTTAGAACATAATCCCCCACCTGGAATGCCCTTGGTTTCACCTTGCTATCAAAGTAAGATTTCACCTGGCGACGATAATTTTCTGCCCGGATACGTGCTTCATCCCTTCGTTCCTCTACGAAATTCAGCTCTACGGCCTGATTCTGTTCGTTCACCTCCGGGTCATATTCCATTTCTCTCCTGGTGGGGATTACTACCTCGGCGGGAGCCCGGGCTTCAAAACCATACGCCAAGCCAAAAGGAGTGTCACCCGTGGCTCTCCTCAGAGTCGTCCTGTTTGTCCACAGGATTCTGGGCAGTTCATCCACCCATTTGCTTCCTTCTGAAAGTAGCTTCTTCTTTATTCCATCTATGATTGTTCTGTTGACGTTCTCCACTTGTCCATTAGCCTGAGGGTACGCAACAGACACCTTCGTGTGCTGAATTCCCCAAGTTTTGAGAAAGTCTTGAAACTCGGCTTCCTCAAACTGGGTTCCATTGTCTGATATGATCTGCTTCGAGACCCCAAACCTGCAAAGTATATTGGTTCCGAAGTCGATCATCTGCCTTCCGGTGATCCCTGCAAGTGGCTCAGCCTCCACCCACTTTGTGAAATAGTCTATCGCCACCACAATCCAGCTTGCTTGCCCTGCCCCTTTCGGCAGGGCTCCCACAAGGTCGATTCCCCATCTTGAAAAGGGGATCACGGAGCTGATGGGCGTGTAATTCGTGGCTGGCTTGCCGGGTATATTCTGGAATTGTTGGCAGGTCGGACACTTGCGTACATATTCTTCACAATCCTTCCTCATTGTTGGCCAGAAGTACCCCTGGATGATAGCCCTTCTAGAAATGGAATAAGGGCCCTGATGTGCAGCACATACTCGCCTCTGTTGCTCTCAGGCAACGGAGTAAAACACCGTTGTAAGACCGCTTATAGAGGACTCCGTCCTGCACCTTGTAGGTTGGTGCCCTCATTCGTAATAGACGCGCTTCCTGGGGATTCTCCGGGGCTTCACCGTCCTCAATGTATTTGGCCAATCGGTCCAACCATTCCGGGGGATCAGCCGATACCCAGATCACCTCATTGTTGCTAAGACTCGGGGTTACCAGCTCTTCGACAGTTGCTAATCTGCTTATGTATTCTGGTGATTCTGTGCTGAGCTTGGATAGAACATCAGCCTCTGCGTTCTGGGCCCGGGGTATATGTTCAAGCTTAAACTCAAACCTTCCCAACATCTCTAGAGACAAGTCCCGGTACCTCTTCATCCTCTCTTCCTTTGCTTCAAACTCCCCTGTGATTTGTCCCACCACCAGTCAGGAGTCGCTGTAGACCTGAACCCTGGATACTCCCATCTTACTAAGAATCTTCAAACCATTGATCAGGGCCTCATACTCAGCTTCATTGTTGGAGACACGGAACTGAAATCTGATGGCGTAATAAATCCGGAATTTTTCTGGGGTGATCAGGACGACACCTGCTCTGCAAGATCGAGACCCAGAAGATCCGTCGATGCTCATTATCCACCAGTCTTTCTCCATCCGGGTTTCAACCTGGGCTCTTGTCATTTCCCTAGCGGTGCACTCGACTTGAAAATCGGCGAGTGCTTGCCCCTTGATGGATGGGCGCGGCCTGAATTGCACGTTGTACTGACTGATAAAGACCGCCCACTTGGTCATCCGGGCCGATGCCTCCGGGCTCCGGCTAAGCGACGCCAATGGCTCATTGGTGAGCACAATAATCCGGTAAGCCTGAAAGTACGGGGTCAATCTCTTCGCCGTCTAGAAGACCGCCAACATGGCTTTCTCTGGTCGGGAATACCTTAACTCCGCATCCCTCAGGGTCTTGCTGACGTAGTAGACCGGATGTTGGGCCCCACGCTCTTGTCTCACGATCATAGTACTCATGGCACAATCCGCAATCGCCAAATATAGAGTCAGAATATCCCCAGGTTCCGGCTTGGATAAAACTTGCGGACTTGTGAGATATCTCTTTAATTCTTCAAATGCTTCTTGACATTCTGGTGTCCATTCAAAGGTCGCCTTCTTCTTAATCACCGCAAAGAATGGGTGCGCCTTCTGTGCCAGCTTCGAAAGGAAACGATTTAAGGCCGCCAATCTTCCTGTTAGCCGCTGAACCACCTTGGCTGTTTTCGGAGGTTCCATCTCCATGATGGCTCTAACTTTCTCCGGGTTTGCCTCAATCCCTTTCCGGCTTACCATGTGCCTAAGGAATTTTCCACCTTGAACCGCAAAAGTGCATTTCTTCTGGTTCAATCTCAGATTTACCTTCATCATGATTCCAAAGACCTCCTCAAGGTCCCGGACATGGTCTCGGGCCTCTTTGGACTTGACGATCATATCATCGACATACACCTCCATGGTCCGCCCTAGGACAGTCTTGAACACCTGAGAAACCATCCGGGTATATGTTGCCTCGGAATTTCTCAGTCCAAAAGCCATCACTAGGTAACAGTACAGCCCTTCTGGGGTCATAAAGCTTGTCTTCTCAGCATCGGCCGGATGCATCCGGATCTGATGATATCCGCTGAAAGCGTCCATGAAGCTCATTATCTCCGACCTGGCAGTTTCATCGACCATCTGATCAATGTTGGGGAGTGGAAACGGATCCATGGGGCATGCCTTGTTCAGATCTGTGTAGTCGACGCACATCCTCCATGAAGGTGGCTTGGGTGCTAGGACTACATTCGCCAACCAATCCGGGTATTGTACCTCCCGGATATGCCCAATGCTCTGCAGGGTTGCTACCTCCTTCTTTACGAAATCTCTTCTTTCCTGCGACAAATGCCTTCGTTTCTGCTTCACCGGTTTGGCATCCGGCAGAACATTGAACAGCAATCTTGTGATCCAGCCCTGGCATATCAGCTGGACTCCATGCAAAGACTCTTCTGAACCTCCTGAGGACTGAAATCACCCGTGACCTGAGTTAAGCCCCCAGGCCCTTACCAATCCTGACAAACCTTCCCGGCGTGCCTGGCTCCAGTTCCACCTCCTCAATGTCGCCGGCAACTTCTACTCTGGGACGTTTTTCCTCAGCCCTCAGGAGCTGTGCAGTCACCTCTCCCACTTGGGTATCGTACTTGACCGGCTGTTTGGTTGCCTTCAAATACCATGCCCGGGATACTCTCTGCGATCCCCTGGCAATTCCAACTCCATGAGGGGTTGGGAATTTTATGCACAGGTTACGAGGTGAAATGACCCTCTCCAAATCTTCCAATCCGGGTCTACCCAGGATAATATTTGTGCTGGAGATTATCCTCACTACGACAAACTCCATGTCCAGCTTCCGGGTTGCCTTAGTATCGCCTATCTCAACCGGGAGGGTTATTACCCCCTCCGGTTCAATAGAGTCACTAGTGAACCCGGTTAGTGGAGTCTTGATGGGTGACAATTCATCTCTTGTCAAACCGAGAGCCTTGTATGTATCCATATACATGATGTTAACGGAGCCTCCCGTATCCACAAGGGTTTTGTGGATCAGTAAGTCCATTATATCAATGGTAATTACTAGGGCGTCCCTATGAGGGACCCCTGTCTCTGGAAGATCAGCATTAGAAAATACAATTGGCTCGGTTTTCAACTTCTTACCTTCCGGGACCAGCACCTTGTTGACCATTGCCGCGTTAGCCCACTTCTTCCGGCTTGTGGCCGAGTCCCCACCAGTATTCCCTCCAATGATGAAGTTACACTCGTGGTGTCTCTTCTGGCGATGCGGCGCGGGTTCCGAATCCTCCTCTTCATCTTCAAGCCCAATGTGGCGTTTCTCCCGGGCCTCAGCCTGGGCTACTTCTTTATCTCTGCGTTTTCCATTCTGAGCATTCCCGGGACTTCCGGCGTCACCATCTTGAACAAACTTCTTCAGATGACCCCGGCGGATCAGCCTTGCCATCTCATTCTTCAGAGTATAACAATCTTCTGTGTTGTGATCATTTTTGCGATGGTAAGCACACCATTTTCTAGTGTCTTTCACATTGCAAACCTTCAGAGAATAGGTTGGGTAAGTCATGAGCCCCTGCTGTGCTGCATGGGCCATGACCTCAGCCACTGGCAGTGTAAAGACGGGATTGGCAGGTTTATGCTTCTCTGAGGTCCCAGGATTTGCGCCCTTTGGGCCATCCGGGAAGCCCTGCTTTTTATTCTTAAACGGCTTCTTGGTTCCCGACTTCTCTTCTTCTTTAGGAGTCTTCTCTTTCTTCTCCTCCTTTCTTTCTTCAAGGGTCACATACCTCCCTGCCCGGACCATCGCTTCTTCGAAGGTATCCGGGGGATGAGTAGTGAGATCGGTGTGAAGGAGTCCATCCTGTAATGCCACCGTGAACATAGCCAACCTGGACTTATCATCAGTTCCTTCAACCTCCCTGGACTCTTTCCTCCATCGGATAAGGAAATTCTTCAAGGATTCTCCATGCTTCTGTCGCACCGATGCCAAGTGAGTGAAATGCTTTTTGGGCGGCAGTTCCCAGCAAAATGCTCTAGGAACCGTAGTCCCAATTCATCCCATGTTCGGACTGATCCAGCAGGGATATGGTTGACCCCAACCTTGCTATCAACGGTCTGGAAGAAGCACCGACACATGAGTGCGTCACTGGCGTCCACGGCGATCATCACTTGGACATAGCTATTTATGTGCTCTTGGGGGTCTGATTCGCCGTCATAACGCTTGACAAATGGCATTTTGAATCCCTGCGGATATGGTTCCGCAAAGATCTCTGGAGCCAAGGGAGTATTCGTTCGAGTAGTGAATACTCGACCCTTGTTTATCTTCCTCTGCATCTCCTGGATCTGCTGTCTCAGGTCTTGAAATTCACCAGCTTCCGGCACCGGCGGATCTCCTCCAGATTCCGCAATGACCGGACCGGCACTTGGCTCACCCCTCGGTCATTTCGCTACCGGGGTTCGCGATTGGATGATGCCACCTGGCTGGCCTGAGGTCGTATCCAACCCTGGGGTGCCTTTTCCGGATTCTTCCCCAGCCTCTCACTAATGTGAGCTTTCTGGCGAGATATCCTTTCAAAGACAGATCCCCGCGGGTTTTTGTGTCCATCGCCGAAGATCCGGCTTGGATCCTTAGCCTGGCCTTCGTTCACCTTATTGTTCCGGGCCAATTCCTCCACCCGGCGTCTGTCAATGGCTCGCCTTTCCCTTTCAACCTCCTCCGGATCGTGGAGCTCCTGTAGGATAGGAGAACTCGCAGTACGCAGGACCTGGCGGGGTTGCCCGGGTGGGATATCCCGGGTTCCGGATGGACCTCGAAGAGCCTTATCCAATCGCTCCATAATGTTGGCCATCATGTTAGCCACACTATTTAGCGTTGTTTCCAACCCATTGACAGGAACAATCATACCCTGCTCAGGGTTGTCACTCCTCACCGTCGACTGAGCAGAAGTAGCAGGGTTACGTCTCGTCCTTCGTCCGGCCATAATCTCACAGCCTTATCTCACAGTATGGCTCTCAATGGAAGCACCAATGATGGGATTAACCCGATCAGATGGCGGACCAAGAACGGAATATGAATTAGGAAGATATAATCGCTCGATAATGTTCTTTGATTATGTATTGAACTGTCTCGTTGTGACCTGTTTTACAACGGTGGGGTCTTCCCCTTTTATAGTACTTTTGATATTCTGATTAAAATTATACAAAATGGAAATAGATTATGGAGATCATGGGGTTGTGATTCCCCTTCTTTCCGGTCTCGTTCTCTTCCCATTTCGTCCACAACTCGATGATGTGGGCCACGTGTCCCATTCCTCTTTCGGACTGGGTCACCTTGATCTATCCCATGTTTGGGCCGTCTTCCTTTACTTGCCGTATGTGAGATGATGGGCTTGGCCCGTCATCTCCACCTGATTACATTCCTTTTGGGCTATTATGGCCCTCATTTGGGCCTGGAGTCGGGTCTACCAGACCCGATATCCATTAGGATTCATCGTGGTTCTGTCCATCGGTGTTTAGGAATGGGGAATTCATCGACCCCAGACTGTACGATGCATCTCCATGAAGATCATACTTCGATGGGAGAGGAAATAGGCCAGATCGGGCAACTCATTGACAAATACCTTCAGATGAAGGTGACATCAGGTATGAATCCTTGTACACACATAATCTATGGGTGTGTAATATTGTATATTTGAGTAGAGGGCGTGTGTAGTATTATATATGTCCATCTGTATTGTATTTAGGAGCAGAGGATTCCTCGACCAACCACGGCACTGTACATGTCCGTGAAAATCATACTCGTTTAGCAGCCCATATCAAAAAACGCATTGACCAACTGCTCACATTTAATCCTCAACAGGACCGGCTTCTTAGGGGGGTATCAGGTACGGATTTCTCACACACACACACACACAAAGGTTTGAATGCTCTTATTAAATCTTTTTTTTCTTCCTTTTATTATGTTAGGGTGGGTAGTAATACTTTAACAAGAATCTGTTGCTTACACTATTTATTCTCAATTCTATTATTAAAGCTTATCCATTTTCACCACAAGAAGTGCAACCCTTTTTTTCGTGGATTCAATTAAATGGAGTTTTCTGCTTGTATGGGATTTCTTCTACAACTTTGAATGTTTTTTTTTTAAAATTAACACACCATGTCTAGTATAATGAAATAAGAGGAAATTTATAGGGCTTGGGTGAGACCTTAATAGAACGCTCTACTTCTCATCTATAGGAAATGCAAAAAGATCAACGACGGCATCTTTTAAAGCTGAATCTGATTGTGGATTGAGCATTGGTTCCAATTCTGAAGCTGAAGATGTCACCATCTATTTCCGTTTATATTCCCAAAGGCATAACTGTGGAAGCTTATTAAACCCCCATACAGACTACGAAACTAAGTGGTTTTCTATTTCTACACAGCACATGTCTGTCAGTGAGGATTGTGAGAATAGGAACATCCACCCCGCCATTCAGGAGGAGCCTAGTTTTCCCTATTTCAATGATTTTGGCTGGCTTCCATTTTCTGTTGGGCCTTATATCTTCACCCTCCGTGTTTTTACGGGAACGTGCTTAAGGCATCTCTTTTATCATGATACACGAAATATCAAGGGTGAATGGAATGAAGCTCCTTACCTTACAGAAACAGAATTTGATTATTACTTCTTTCCAGCCAATGACAAGATATATGCCTTGGGAATGTATGAGGGTTACTCATTTGGTTGTTACTCATTTGATTTGAAGTGTCTTGATTGCAATGAATTGGCCAAAGGCTGGCAGTCCATACATCCCATCAGTAAAAAACTCTTAGACTCGCAGATTGGCCTTATGGTTATTGCATTCAAACTTGATTATGAAACCACCGCTGATCCTGCTACGGGTTATATCAAGCGACATGATAAGCGTGCCGTGTTATTTACATGGACGGAGAGGATTTCCTATGATTTTGTCAAAAATGAATTTAAGGTGTCTCGTGACCACATCAAAGAGCCTTTGGATTCTCTAGGTGGTGTTGGTCATGGTAATTTTATTTACTTTTTGTTCAATGAAGAACCAGAAGAAAGAGCCAATCTTATGGTCTACAATGACCGTGCCCATAAATGGTACCAAACTCCAGTTGTTGGTTTGGAGAACTTTCCTCATGCTTTGCCGGCAGGTGTAGAACTTTTGGAAAATACTTTCTTGGTTGATTAGTTACCCCAAAGAGGTATATATACAAGGTACATAGGTACAAGCCCAATGGGCCAACTATCTACAAAATAAACCAATACTACACAAGAATACCCAATACTCCCCCTCAAGTTGGAGCATGAATATCAAGAATGCCCAACTTGGAGAGTAAAAAATTAAAAAGAGGACTAGAGAGCGCCTTAGTAAAAATATCTGCAATCTGCAATTTGGTTGGAACATAGGCCGTGGACACATGGTTGCGCTGAACGCACTCACGAACGATATGACAGTCAATATCAATATGCTTGGAGCGTTCATGGAACACCGGATTTGCTGCAATGTATAACGCAGATTTATTATCACAATACAAACGCGGAGTAGCAACACAAGGAACAAACACAGCCGCAAGAAGACCCCGGAGCCAACAAATCTCCGTACATGCACTAGCCATGGCCCTGTACTCAGCCTCGGCCGAAGAACGAGACACGGTGTCCTGCTTTTTAGACCTCCACGAAACTGGAGAACCTCCCAAAAGAATAAAATAACCAGTCACGGAACGACGAGTAATAGGACAACTTGCCCAATCTGAATCTGAGTAAGCAATAAGAGATAATTCACTGTCACTACGCAAGAATATACCCTGACCCGGATGTCCCTTCAGATAGCGGACCACCCGCAAAGCCGCATGTAAATGATCAAGTCGTGGAGCATGCATGAACTGAGACAGAACATGAACTGAGAAACAAATATTAGAACGAGTAATAGTCAAATACAACAAACGGCCAACCAGGCGCCTATACTTGGCAGGATCACGAATCTCTGGACTCGAGGAGGTGGCAAGCGAGTGTCCAGGAGTAATAGGAGTAGAGACAGGCTTGCACCCTGAAAGACCCGCCTCTTCAATAATATCTAACGCATACTTCCGCTGATTCAAAACCATGCCTGCCGGGGACCTAGCACACTCGATCCCCAGAAAGTAAGATACTGGGCCCAGATCTTTCAAACAGAAACAATCATTCAAGTAGCGCTTGAACGCCGAACAAACAGATGGATTATTACCTGCAAGAAGAATATCATCCACATAAACCAATACAACCAAGATGTCAGGACCATGGGTTCGAACGAACAATGTATGATCAGCATGGGCTTGGCGAAACCCAACAGTACGAAGAGCACTGCGCAACTTAGCAAACCAGTTACGCGGGGACTGACGTAGCCCGTACAAGGACTTTCGGAGACGACACACTTTACCCGGATATGCCCCAGTGTACCCAGGCGGCAACTTCATGTACACCTCTTCCTTTAGATCCCCATGTAGGAAAGCATTATTGACATCTAACTGATGAACCTCCCACGAGCGAGCAACTGGAACAGAAAAAAGAATACGTACCGTGGTTAATTTAGCCACTGGTGCAAAAGTGTCAGTATAATCCGTCCCGAATTCTTGATGATTCCCCAACACAACTAAGCGGGCTTTGTCACGTTCTTTGGTACCGTCGGAATGAAACATCGTGCGGTACACCCACTGGCAGCCCAATGCACGACGAAAGGGTGGAAGATCAATAATATCCCAAGTGTGATTTCTCTCCAATGCTAACAATTCCTTCGCCATCGCTTCCCGCCAAGAAGCGTGCTTAACAGCCTCACGAAAACTTTTGGGCTCCACTGTTGCCGTCACCACTCCGAGAAAACCTCTATACCTGTCATGTAACTTATCATAATGAACAAAATTAGTAATAGGGAACCGAGTACCTGAGACGGAAGACTGAACGGGAGAAGATGTAACCGAAGAGCATGTTGTGGCGATGTGACAAACATAATCAGACAGATGAGATGGAGGGTGACGGACACGAGAGGATTGGCGGACTGGGTGGACTGTTTCTGTCTCGGGTGGAGTGGTATCGGACGAGGTGGGTGCACCATCGGCAGTAGGTGCAAGATTAGAGGGGCTAGGTTCAGGAATCGGGACTGGGGTGGGATCGTCGACAGTGACCGCCGATCCTGGGGCAGGGGACTGGTTGGATGCCGACACGGTAATGGCTTCGGGAATGTCACCCGCAGGGGTCGGAAGAGGTGAGGTAGAGGGTGTAGTGTTGGACGGGATAGCAAAAGGAAAGACATTTTCATCAAACGAAATATCACGAGTATGAAAGAAACGGTGTGTTTCCAAATTATATACACGCCATCCCTTCGTACCAAATGGGTACCCAACAAACATGCACCGAATACTACGGGGAGCAAATTTATTGGGAAGTTTTTGACGAACATAATAGAGACACCCAAACACCCGAAGATGGCTAAGATCACAAGGTTTAGACGAAAGAATTTCAAGAGGAGACTTACCACCCAAGAGAGACGTTGGAAGGCGATTAATGAGATAGATTGCGGTTTTGACACATTCTCCCCAGATTTCAAGTGGTAGAGATGCTTGAAACATGAGGGCACGCGCCACATTGAGAATGTGACGATGTTACCTTTCCACACGGCCATTTTGCTGAGGGGTACCTACACAAGAAGTTTGTATCTTGACACCCATGTGATCATAATATTCAAGAAGGGGTTTATTTAGGAACTCAGTACCATTATTAGAACGAACGACTTTTATTGTTTTCTCATACTGGGTAGCAATCATAGCAAAGAACCGTTTCAAACAAGAGGTAACCTCACTTTTAACTTTAATAAGGTAAACCCACATAGCACGACAATGATCATCAACGATAGTCAGAAAATAATGAGCCCCTGTAGCTAAACAAGCTGAATATGGTCCCCAGAGATCACAATGGATTAAATCAAACACAGAATTGGCTTTATTTAAACTTGTAGGAAACGAAGATCGAGTCTGTTTGGACATAAAACAAATATCACACGTTTGCAACTTCTTTAAATTAGAAGTGCTATTATTGGGACTAACAAATGACATAAATT